GTGCAAGAACAAAGAATATACCAAAATAACTTCCCAGACAACCTGAAGGTATTAGTTACATGTTTTACAGCACATGAGATATTCACTTTCAAGCAATGCACAATGACAGCTCTTCAATGTGAGTTGAAATGTGTTCAAAGCATAGTCATGGCCTGGTAAGGCATTTCAGGCAAGGAAACAAACAAATGTTGGAAACAGCACATGCAGTTTTCCTTAGGTAGCGATGGTTCCAGGTTGATTCCAACACAATCCAGTGTTTGGTTTCCAACTACTTGTGTCAGGCATTTCCACAAACAAAGCTGCCGTGTGTTCGAAGTATGAGAAAGGGACACCGGCATCAGGATTTCAGCGATCGTTTCACCCGATCACGTTAATCCATTTGAAATCATTCCAGACAGAGCAATCCTCGATCGGTCATTCATTGACAACTGCAAGCATAATTTATCCCGTTGCATGTATCTCTGATGCTGCCGTCTATAACTTGAGACTATCGTCAGTAAGATCTTGTCTTAACAGGTAGGAAAGATGAGTTCAGAGATGGCAATACTTTCGACGCTAGGTCCATCGCCAGACCAGTCATTGCCGACGAACAAGCAGTCGTCTCTGCCATCCTTGTCGGTTTCAAATGCCCTCCATTTGTTTCCAGGGTGTATATATGTCGTCTGTTGGCGTATCTCATGCAGCGTCAATATTGGGAACAAATACAGAGAAACTACAATGTCTCATTCGGTGATGATATCAAAATCGATGTGAGCAAAGTCTCATGATTAATCTCAACGCACTGCGTCAATGACGTGGTTATTCGGGCAAGATAACACCGACTTGTACGCTCGACTGCTTCGATGGCCGCATCGACGCCTCTCGCCCGCAGACTTCGTGAATCCTTTCCTATTGCGTCCGGCATGTCGTTAGTAACGGTTAGAGGCTGGCATGCTATCGTCGTCATTTACTTCCTTAACCACTAGAAGACACCGTTGACTGGAGACAGCAAGAACAACGGCCACGAGCCCACTATTAGTCACTTCCAACACCTTCGCTCGCAAGTACTGGAATGGCCCCAAGCCCCTTCAATTTGTTTTAGAACGGACATAATTACAATGGCTGTGACCAGAAGTCAAATCACGACTTCATGATGCATCACGGAGCGAAGCAATTACCGATGACTAATTTAACGCGGATTCAGCTATCAATTGCCGTTCGAATGAGCAAATCCTCGGCTAAACGGCTTGTAAATCCGACACACTCAAAATATATGTATCAAAAGCTGGTGTGTAGAGTATGAAGTTCTCCGCGATTGTGAACGTTCATGATATATATGCATGGTGATTGCGAGGATCCGCCGAGGTATTACTTTGACAGATGTGAATAAATGCACAATTCTTTACCAACACATCTGGCGTAGATGTGTGCCGGGATAGTAAGGATGGCCTAAAACTCATGTGGCTATTGCTCCGTCGTCTCTAGTCTCCAGTGATCTGAGCGTTTGACCGTCTCAAGTCACTTACTGTCGCACAGCGACGCGATGGAAGAGTAAATGGGATAATGGGCTAACACTATAATTCAACGATCGTACTATGCACTCGCATGGCCGCGTGCCCCAAGGACCGGAAAAACAGGCCTTCACTCACGGGTTTGGCCGAGCCGCTACTAGTCCTTCTTCTCACATGAGATTCGATTCAATATATTGAAGTACACGTCCTCTCTTCATTTCACAAATCGGTGCAAATCAAATGTTATCGCGGTAATCTCATTTCTAACAACACGCAAGATGACACTAGGGAGTTAGAGAAGTGACATTTACACATCACAGCTTGTGACTATGACTTCATATAGTTGGTTTGATATACATGACATCCGTCGCGCTTCGTCACATGAAGCACGCTGTCAGTAAATTCTCACTAATTGACTAATCCATCACATCATGCGCAAGATTGAGAAAAATATATCGACCAATTTCTTGGAGATCGCGCGACAACTCTCTTTTGCTGTGCAGATTTAAGTCTCATATTCCCTTCTTCGTTGGTTTTGGTACAATGTTGCGTGATGGATAGCCCCTCTCTAAGAAGAAAGAATAAATATTTCTACTTGATTAGGAAACCGATGAGCGTCTTATTTCAGGCTTATGTAGTAGATGTCAACGGAACGCGCTACGTTCGTGGCTATAGCGCAAATCATCGCTCTTGCTAGGAAATAGCACTCGCTAGACTTACACCTACCATCTGTACGTACAAATAGAGCTTGTGATATTCAATTGTCTCGACTACATGAGCTGCTATCTGAACATTGTTTGATGTTTTCATATTACGTTTGCTAAGGGTATAAGGCCAAGGCTAAGTGGCTGGTGAACAACTCAAGGCAAGCAGAGGATATCGTGTATTACAAGTCATTTGTGTCATCCAGTACTTGCCACGGCATGGGCTCTATCTGTATTAAGAATTTGACCCATTCGAGGTCAAGGTGAGTGAACCTGAATGACTGCAACCAAAAAGACATCTTCTCTCAAAGGTTGAGCTTCAATGGCGAAGCTCAAACTGTAGGCATGCCGCTGTGACGAAGTACACTATCGTTCGGGTCAGAAGGATCTTTCATATGATATCACTCTACAACATGCATTTATTGATATTGATGGACTTAAGAGTTAGGTTCTAGAGCTACCCTTGTCCCCATGTGGACCGGTGCATGACATCGTGAAATGATGTTTCATGCGATCAACATTGAAGAGAAACGCGCCCAGTCACAGACAGCACTCCACACAATATGAACGCTTAGGCCATTTCCAAATACGTAGTTTATATTCTGCCCATCTTTCCCAATTAGCATGAAGCCGGGATTCTGCAGGGAATTCGAAATTCGCAGGAGGTGCTCTGTGCAGGGTCTCATCAGACTCAAGTCAACCACACTCTGCATGAACACCGTATTTGGGGATATGACTCATCATGCCATATGTAGTTCTACAAGAACATATGTATAATAGTATCCAGTATCGCATACTCAAGAGTGTTGATACTCATTCTTCATTTCCGCTGGTTGGTACCAGAAGCACAACATTCTACCTAATCAGCATACCTCTCACGGCCGCCACATACTGTTATCCATGCCCTCGCTCTTCCAACGCTCAAAGTCAGGTGAAGAGAACATGGCCAAGGCATCCGAGGATACAACACAAAGGCATGCGCGTGCCAAGTCAACAGGAACAATCAACCTCCTTGTCGAAACGCGTCGCCAAGCCTCGGACCAGTATATGCGAGCGCAACGCGCCGAAACAGCCTACCGCACACGCAAAAACGCCACGATTGCACGAACAACACTCAACGAAACCAAAACACATTTCAAGGAAGGGTTTTCACATTTCGGTGCAGGGTTCAGGGGCTTGTTTTCTGTCCTTCGCGCCACACCATACCTTGTTGGGGAGCGATGTGAACAACGGCGACGGAAGAGGGATGCACAGAAACGTAAGAGAGCTGAGGAGCAGCGGAAGAAGCTGGATGAGAAGATCACGCGAGGTTATGCGGATGCTGGAAGCGACGAAGGAGAGGACGAGCGAAGCACTGCGGGGAGTAGTGGTACGGGTAAAGGCAAGAAGTGAGCGGAAAAGCACTATCAGACCAGTGCCTAATAAGATTCCCTTGTTGCATTGAGTAAGTAGCTGTTTCATCTGCATCTAAGACTCGATTTCCCTTCTAGGTCAAACATGCTGACGACGGATTTGAAAAGCACTACAGCTCATTTCATTTGTGCAAGTCTCATGCATTTGAGAGGCTGGGCAGTTCTTTTCGATCAAGATAGATACTAATTAGTCTACGACATGACTAAAAATGACTACGTTAATTAGGGGTACACGTAAGTAATGAATAGATATGACTACACTGCTACGGAGCGTGACGGAGAGCCTTCAGCCTCGATTTGCTTCGACAAATCATGTAAGACTCTATATACAATAGAACTTGGGGAATCTCTGTATTTATATTTGGTTTAAGTACATTCGTGTTCTTTATGCCTAATGCATTAGGATATCAGTACGGCTCTTTGGAATTTGGCGACTGAAAGCTTGTTGGAATTATGGGGTTGAAGCGTCTGACTCCTTAGACTCCGGGCTGTGATCGATCACCCAAAGTTGTTCTCCAAAGATTTCTATGCCTTATCAAAGATAGGACCATGTGCAAAGACGAGACGCGCCAACTTACAGAGCACTCCCAATCATTACAAAATGAGAGATGAGAAGAGGCTTATCTCTATGGGGGTAATTGCCTGAATTATCGTCTCCAGGAACTTCTTTTTGTTTTATAATGGTTAGTTGGTCAAGGTACGCCATCTACGCATCGATCCTTTATATACGACTTACGAGCATCACACAGTCCAGCCATCGGATGCACTAGCGTGCGTGATGTGACTTGATGTTTCACGGGGATGCGAGCACCGTGTAAACAGCCTAGAAGAGACGACACCCGAGTGCAAGATCGTCTTGAAGACAACACTAAAAGTAAAAGACATGGCGAAGGCACCCTCTCTGGAAATTCCAGAAATCTTCAAGCTCACCAACCATGCAGCTCTCCTATTCACCCAATAGAGAGGGGCTTGTCAGTAAATTGAATTCCAATGTGGTTTGCGGCTCGCTTATGTGATGCACGATACAGAGAATGGAAATGACGATAGCGATTTGAGAGTGCGTAGGTCAATGCGCCGCAAGGACAGGATCGCAATTGACAGACAATTTGGTCTGGGCGGGGAAGGGGGAGAAAGGGAGGGGGTTTCAAAATGAGCAACGGCAAAAACAGTGTATGATACAGATGCATAACGCCATACACAGGCGTCCTTCCAGCTTTTCGCTAGATAGTGTCGCAGCGCAAAGGGCAAAGGCGGAGTGGCTGATGTCAGTAGGTAGGTAGTAGTGGACGTCCACGGTGCGATACGACCATGCAGCGCCCCGCGCTGTGGGGAGGCGATATAGGTTTGAGCATCCCACCGATCTCCAACAACTGGAGTCAGCAATGACTCGCTGAGGCACTTTGGCGGAGTGGTTAACGCGTTGCCCTGCTATAAATGTCTATGTAAATAGACAAAGACAGGCAATTCCTTCGGGAGCAAGAGTTCGAATCTCTTAGGTGTCGATTTGTTTTTGCTGGATCTCGATCCAAACTTTTATTTTGCTCCTATTTGTTGTATGTCCGCTTTTCGAAAGCTTCAAAGTGCTTGCTTTTGATTTGCGAGCACATGCAGTCTTTTCTTCTCCATGTCGCTGCCGGCTTTGACGAGCCATTGTAGCATTTCCCGCCCGTATGTCGACTGGTCGACGTCTGTTATCGCGTCATTGACGGTCGGGTCCACGTACACTGACTTGCAAACGGAACGTCGGAGTGGATACCTTAATTTCCCTGGTATGTGTACACACCTTTTTTGAACGCGACGATTTTGAATAACCATCTTTTTCACCATTTTCACCACTTTATCAAGAATCATCTACGTACTACCATTCTATTAAATAACCAATATACTTGGCTAATAAGTGCAAATAGCCCTCTATCCAGCCATATACAATACAGCCATCCCAGCCATATACAACACGTACAACGCGTACATCACGTACAGCGATTCCAGTCAAATACAGCGATTCCAGCCATATACAGCCCTTTTAGCCATATACAACACGTATAGCGATTCCAATCGAATACAGCCCTTTCAGCCATATACACCACGTACACCACGTACAGCGATTCCAGTCAAATACAGCCCTTCTAGTCAAATACAGCCCTTTCAGCCATATACAGCGATCCAGCCATATACAACACGTACAACGCGTACACCACGTACACCACATACAGTGATTTCAGTCGAATACAGCCCTTCAGTCACATGTACCACGTACACCACATACACCACGTACAGTGATTTCAGTCGAATACAGCGATTCCAGCCATATACAACACGTACAGCACGTACACCACGTACACCACGTACAGCGATTCCGGTCAGATACAGCCCTTCAGTCACATATACCACGTACAGCGATTCGGTCAGATACAGCCCTTCAGTCAAATACACCACATACACCACGTACAGTGATTTCAGTCGAATACAGCGATTCCAGCCATATACAACACGTACAGCACGTACAGCACGTACACCACGTACAGCGATTCCGGTCAGATACAGCCCTTCAGTCACATATACCACGTACAGCGATTCGGTCAGATACAGCCCTTCAGTCAAATACACCACGTACACCACGTACAGTGATTTCAGTCAGATACAGCCCTTCAGTCACATATACCACGTACACCACGTACATCACGTACAGCGATTCCAATCGAATACAGCCCTTTAGTCACATATACCACGTACAGCGATTCCACCACGTACACCACGTACATCACGTACAGCGATTCCAATCAAATACAGCCCTTCAGTCACATATACCACGTACGGCGATTCTAGTCAAATACAGCGATTCCAGCCATATACGGTGATTTCAGTCGAATACAGCGATTCCAGCCATATACACCACGTACACCATATACACCATATACACCACGTACACCACGTACAGCGATTCCAGTCAAATACAGCCCTTCAGTCACATATACCACGTACAGCGATTCCACCACGTACACCACGTACACCACGTACACCACGTACACCACGTACACCACGTACACCACGTACATCACGTACAGCGATTCCAGTCAGATACAGCCCTTCAGTCACATATACCACGTACGGCGATTCCACCACGTACACCACGTACACCACGTACAGCGATTCCAGTCAAATACAGCCCTTCAGTCACATATACCACGTACGGCGATTCCAGTCAAATACAGCGATTCCAGCCATATACACCACGTACACCACGTACAGCGATTCCAGTCGAATACAGCCCTTTCAGCCATATACACCACGTACACCACGTACAGCAATTCCAGTCAAATACAGCCCTTTCAGTCAAATACAGCAATTCCAGCCATATACAGCGATTGCGATATACACTACAGCCCTTCCACTTATATATAGCGATTGTACCTATTTCCAGTCACTCTAGTTATATACAGCGACTTCAATTACATGTATAATATATTAATTAAATCATTATATATAACCAAAAGTCCATAATCGTGAAATAGCCGTTATTCAATTCCGTCAAAATCGTTGTGTTCAAAAAAGGTGTGTACACATACCAGGGAAATTAAGGTATCCACTCCGACGTTCCGTTTGCAAGTCAGTGTATCAGTAACTGTACTACGGATGTATTCAACAATGATTCGACCCCTTTACCATTCCACCCAGCCTCACTTATTACGCCGCACCCTCAATCCCTCATCTTACCCATCAATCTTTGCTGTCTCACGCTCCCTTACTTCTTAATCAAATAGCCCCCGTCAATCGGGAGTACAATGCCCGTAACGTACGACGACGCCTCCGACGCAAGCCAGAGCGAGCCCTGCGCAACCTCATGGTCTCTCCCAAATCTGCCCGTAAACGTCGTCCTCTTACCGAATTCGTCCTCTGTCGTATTCATATTCTTCAGGCCCTCGATCGCAAAGTCGGTCTGCGTCACTGTCAGCTGAAGTCAATCGCCTCTCACCCATCGCCGTCCATCAGTTTCACCCATCACCCCACCCATCACCAACGCTTACCCAACTTCGTCCACCCCGAGGCTCATCACCGCGGGGCAGGAGAAAAAGAGAGTGACTCACAGCAACCCCACCCGGCGCAACAGCGTTAACTCTGACCCCAAACTCCCCACCCTCCATAGCCGCATGTCTAGCCAAGCCCAGGAGGGCATGTTTACTCGTAGTATACGCGGGCATCTTCACCACGGGTATGAAACTATTAACACTGGCCACAATCACAATACTGCCCCCTCCTCCCTGTCGTTTCATCTGCTGCAACTCATACTTCGTACACAGCGCCGTGCCCGTGACATTGACGTCTATCACTGAGCTCCAGTACTCCTCGTCCATTTCGGTGAGGGATGTTTTGTCTGTTCCTAGCGCTGCGTTGTTCACGGCGACGTCTAGACGCCCGAATTTCCCCACCGTGAATGATATGAGATCTTGTACTGAAGTCGACTTCGAGATGTCGCACTGCTTGAAGCATATCTCTCCCAAGGAAGAGAGAGTCTCGGCGGTGGATGTGCCCAGAGCGGCGTTGATATCGCAGATCACTACCTTTGCCCCAGCCCGCAAGAATGTAGATGCCGTTGCTTTTCCCATGCCTTGTGCTCCCCCCGTGATGAGTGCGACTTTGCCAACGAGCATGGGGAACACCGGGAACTCAGGAATCTCTGCGGATGTCGACATTCTTTCTCTGATGAGAGTGAGTTCAGATGGGGGTGTAAGTACGTCGTGACCGAGGGTCTAAGGGTTATAACGCGTGTAACTTGGGTCGCGATATGTGTTCTATGTCCACGTTCGCGTTGAATGTGTGAGAGGCAAGAGAAAGTATCTGAAGTTACGATGCACTGATCAAGAGACAGGCGGGTTCCGTGCGTATAGGTGATTCCAAGCATTAATATTTGTGATTTCGTGGATGGGGATATGATATCCCTCAATGACAAGTGCTGGTGGTGGGTCGCATAATACATAGAGTCGCACCAAGCGGAGTTGTTTAACCGTCAACTATCGTGACCAGACATATAAAACTAAGCTTCTGTTCTCGAAAATGCGATTTTTAATTTCTACTGTACCTACTTCTTCTTGGTATATGCCTTGGATCGGAAGAACAGGCAGTACTTTGTGCCTATTCAAGTTCGTACATGCAATGGCGTTATTGATTCTCCAACAGTGCTCAAACATCACATGTCAGTAAGCTCCCAGTCGTGCCAAAAGCCGTGCTATCGATACATGTCACCGCTTGGTAGGCAGAAGAATGTCACACATGGTAAAGCGAGCAGTTCTGACATTAGCAAACTGTCTTCCGAGGCACCAGATAGCATAATGCTCACAAAGAACCGGTACAAAGCGACCAACACTAATCCCTGAGCGACGTGACCTTTAAATATCGAGGTCCATTCCCACTGTCTTCCTTCACTGTGCTCTACGTACTAGGGCGATAGTAAAGTCAATAGATTCCTGGTTCGATTATAGTGGTGGACCATGTTGCAGTTGAGATTAGTTTGTTTGCAACCAATTCGCGCCTCGTACCTCCAATCCGATGATCGCCGCTTTGCGAATAAGTGGTACTATGCACTGTGGACCAGCTCAGCAACTCTTCACGGCTGTATGGTCTTATCTTGAGCATATCATGCGTTAAGCTAGAGTCGTATCGTCGTATCGTCGTGCAGGTCGGGCATGTCGTTTAAGGGTCGCGAAAAGTCATGAGTCGGGTGTAGTGCAACCATCGCCTCAGGTTAAATGAACTGGATTCCTGGCTTTGCAAAGTAGTCATTAGCTGCGCGCCTTCACACAATCTCACGCTCCCAGCCATCTGCCAGAGAATTTTGATCTGCTTTTTGTGTTCATAATTTGGTTCATTTTTCATTCGGTACCTAGACGACGAATTGCCTGAACACGGGACCGGAGCCAGTACTAAACGTTAACCCCATCCCAATGACCCCCCTTGCCTTTCCCTCGAAAAGTTGCGTGGAACGACACAAAGGCAAATGCGATGATCGAGTTGTTTCCCTTACCCACGCGCCGGATCTAGTTGCAAGTTCATGTTACGGATCGATTGATTCATTGATTGTTGGATTTGTTGATTGTTGGTGTATCGGAGGAGAATGTGGACGCAAAAGCAGACAAGACAAAATTAGTAGCCGAAAGACTCGAGGGTCTTGGCCGTCTTGGAGTCCACCTTGGCGCTCTTCTTGGCCTCGGACAGTTGACGGGCAGCCAGCTTCTTGCGCTCGTAGTAAGCGGCACCCTTGGCCTTGCGGCGCTCTTCCAGGCTGTGAGAGAATGTCAGTACCTGGATTCGGACATGCTCATGCTCTCGCAAGGAAGGAGTGATCGCCACAGTCTCTTCGATGACGCGCGACAAGTGTAGAACTGTAAAGACATACCGCTCGACGACGCTCTGGTATTTCCAGCCAACTTCGTGGCTGAGACGGCCGACAGTGCAGTACTTGCGACCAGGTTGCAATCTGAGGACACGAAGGGCCTGGGGGACGACC